GTTAAAAAAGGATGCATTCATTTTTTCTTTTTTTTTTTGAACATCTCCACAGTACGATTATTTGTTTTCAAAGACATGTTCTTTGGCGAGGTAAACTATTTTTGTGAAAAATTGATTTAAAACACAAAAAAAAAATACTGTATAGATTTGTTGTTGTTTGATAAATAAAAAAAAAAAAAGATAAGATGTTTTCAAAGCTTTTTTTTAATATTTTTCTTCTCCTTCGATAATTAAAAATCAATCTAGAGCAAATAGTAATAATGTAACAAATTTTTGTATAACTTGTTATTTGGTTAGTTTGCTTTCACATAAACTAACTATAACATAAAAGTACCATTAAATATGCTGCGTCACCCTTCAGTTATTCATATAACGATATTTCGAAATAAAACTTTATATGGGGATTGGCTATAAAAGTATTTCAATTAAATTCATTTGCAATAGAGTTCATCTAAGTGTACGAAATTGGGTCAAAATGTATTAAAAATTGTTATCTATAGATTGAACACAAACACATATACGGAAAGACATCAAACAGACGGACGGATGGACGGATGGACATGATATGAAAGATTAATCATCCTTAGCTGCTTCTGGATGTCACATATGCCTTGTGCCAAAAGTAGCGTAGCGTGAATGTTGAAGAAAACTTGCGCATGTCGTACCTTATCAGAAGTAGTATGTAGGAAATGTTTTTTTTTTTTAAGTTAAAACAACAATGATTTTAAAATTAACGCTAAAGTGTCTCAAAAAAACCGAAAAATTTTAAAAATCGAAAATTTAAGTGGAAACGGATCGCCTCTTGTGCCTCAACAATAATGTTTTATAATGTAATACTACACAAATACACTTGGTCCCGGCCCACTGTTAAATAGTCTTCATTAGCCTATAGTTATTCATATAGCGACTTTTTACCATAAGCCGTTATATGGGGTGTAGTTGGGAACTCATACGATCCGCATCAATTTCTCCTGGGGCATAATATATCGGTGTACCAAATTGCATCAAAATATCTTGAAAATTGCGGCTCTCTCTCTCTCTCTCTCTCTCTCTCTCTCTATGTTTTTTGCATACTTCTATGATGTAGAGTATGATAAAGTTCTGATATACAATTATTTTTAATTTTTTTTTAAATTTTACGTATCTTCACAAGAATTGCATAAAAATATTGCGAAATTATTTTCTCCTATTTTTTATTAGTTTTCCTTTTATATTGTTGTATAATCTGTATACCTTCGAATACCAAAGACTCATAAAATCAATTTGATATTTGCTTTTAAATGCCTTTTGATTTTCTATGAATTTTCTTGCAGTAAGTTTGTTAGCTTTGCTCTATGAACGATTATTAAAGAATATTAACAAACACACATACTTAGTTCATTTACACTGATTCATATTCTCAGAGAATATCGAATTTTAATAAAATACCTTTGCATTTACGTAGTTTAGGATCTCTCTCTGTGTGTGTGTGTGTGTGTGTGTGTGCGAGTGTTTGTGTAAGCACATGTCAAGCAAGACCATGTACAAGCGAATGATCCTAATTAAATAATTCCTTTTGTAACTAAAACGAAGGATATTTATTAAATTTCCTCCTCTATGTTTACGGATCTAAGTGCTATGCAAGTGTTTATCTTGATAGATATTTTAAAAGTCAGAAAAGCGTTAAGTCATAAACTAATTCAATTTTTCGGTTATATATATATATATATATATATATATGTATATATATATATATGTATATTTATTTCTAAGCCGAGGGTTATAGATAGAAAACTGTTACCGTAAATGATGCTTTCGTAACCTTAACGTGTATAGATGTATAAAAACACCTAACTAACCTATCAACGAACTCGTTTCATTCATTGTATTCTCGAGCTGTTATAATATAACGCGTAGCCCTAAGCATATTCAAAATGTATTTTTGTTAGAGTTGGCATTCATCCTACACGCCCATAATATGCGTATATACACACAAACACACACACACACACACACAGTGTATTTATAATGCAAACAAACATTTGCATTACGTGCATACACACGTAAATGCAAATATATTTTATATACACATATATACATATTAGCACACTAAAGAAAACGGTTTATAAACAATATATAAACAAATTTTTTTATGTGTTATACTGGAAGACAAGTCAACACAGTATAAGAACTCTTCGCTCTAACGTTAAAATTGTTTTAACTATAAATACATCTCTACGTGTAAGTTCACACATGTATATGTATATATATATATATATATATATATATATATATATATTTGTTATTATTTATATATCTATGAAAGTGTATTCATATGCGTATCTATAGGTAGGTGTATATGTATGCATGCCTAGTACATATTTGAGTGCCCTTGTGAAGTCAGTTCTCCGTAACATACGAGTAACATGAATAACTTATTAGAACAAACACTGTACGAATATGCATAATTTCACCATTTTCTGGATCCTTTTATAAAATGTATACCAATTTTTTTTATTTATTTATTTTTTTTTTTTTTCAGTTTTACTACTTTTATTTTATGCTTTCTTTATTTTTATATTTATTTTTTTTTATATATTTATATTTTTTTTTTTTTTTTTTTGTCCTATTATTTTTATTATACTGAAAACATCATCATGCATAAATACATATAAATGCGTTTTATTTCATCAAAATGTAAATTAACTTTAATACGAATTGTATTTCGGTACAAATTTAATGATGATCTCAGTTAAGTTAACTTAATTCTAACTCTAATAATGCTGCAGAGATGATTCTTTTTTTTTTTTTTTGCTTATCTTTACGCCTTTTTGCTATTAAATAAAGCAAATTTTTCGTTTATGGAAACTTATTCAACATTATACTATACAAAAATATCCATATGAACGCGTGATATAACATATAATGAAAATTTTTTGATTTTTTCAACAATTTTTTTTATATATGCTGCTTATATAGTTTTCTTATCCGTTATTATGATATACATTCGCAAATAAGAAAATTATATTTGCTTGATGCTAAATCTCTCATGCCTATTATCGGCATCTTTAAAGATAAAGTTGCATTTGCTGATTACGATCGATTTTCTCATTGACCCTTTAGGCAGATTCTAGAAAATAAATTCCCACTAAAACTTAAGTGAAAACTTCTTAGCTAAATTTGGTTTTTTTCGCCGTTACTATAGTAAGAGAATTGTTGTTTAAATCACAATTCCTGCG